GTGTGTGAAGCTAATTAACCAAGATAAAACACAGCACACACAAAGGCACAAGGTTCCTGTAGGACAGATGTACAGGCCTGTTGCCCGGCAACAGATGCTCCGTCTCCATCGACAACTTCTGTCAGCCTCTTCAAGCACCTGTCAATCAAACGGACATTCCAGAGTGTGTGAGCGGACAGAACAACAACTCTCAACTGTGTTCAGCTGAAAATAACCAACAATCTTCCACTGATGTGTCTTTCTTTGACAGGACAGTGCAATCGTATTAAGTCGATTCTCAAAAAACAAGTCTGGCTCATATTTCACCTAAAAACTTTTCTTTTTCTTTTGTTTTTTGTTGCATTATTTAAACACATGTCCTGTTATTGTTGTTATTCTCATTGATATTTACTGTCTTGTTACTTTAGTATGGATGTTAACCATTCTGCGCATATTTTATTTTTATTTAAATCAGCAGAAATTAAAGGCAGAGCAGGAAATACTACCATGAAGTATAAATATTTTACAATTTAAATAAATATTTTTTCACATGACATGAAAATAATGTCACAGGCTTTGTTTTTATTTGATTTAAATTGTATAAATAATTAAAAAACTATAGTAAATAATTTTTTACCACTTTAATCAACAAGATTTGTTGTGTTTTTTTGGCATTTTATTTATTTATTTATTTCTATGTAGTTTTCATGAAGTTTTAGTTTTTGGTTATTTTAGTACGTAAATCTAAACGAAACAAAAATGAAATGTTGTAGCTGAAATAAAATAAGTTTATATTATTTTATTATAACATTTTATTTCAGTTAATGTTTATTTCAAGTAATGAAAATAGTTTAGTTTTCCAATAACCCTGCATGAAATACATAACACACATATACTTTTTTTTAAGTATCCTGACATGGCTTTAACAGGTTTCGTGAGACTCACCCAGTACGTCTCTATCTTCTATAAACCTGCTTTGAATCCGTATTATGTAAAGCACTATACAAATAAACCTGACTGTCAATGAAGGTTCAGTTGTGGTACTCAAACAAAAAACATGATGTTGATTTTTCATCCAAAGCAAAGCTGTGCACATCTAAGTGAATTAAGAAGAGAAATGCAAACAAAATTCTATTAAAACAAACACGGATTGCCATCGCACACTGAGATCTGCCTTCACTCACCACATCACAGCTGTTTCTGATCAATTCATCTCTATGTTATGTCCTTCAAGTCTTCACTGACCAAACACTCAGCCTTCACGAACGACAGGGAAACTACACAAACAGTGCTGAGGCTGTAGCTCTTCTCATCACAACAAGCACAACAATCAGTGCTCATGAAATCAATGCTTCATGCATTTATCTCATATATGTATATACACACACACACACAAGATCTCTATTTGAATATATATATTTTTTTCAGCTACATTTTCTGCTAAAATAAGCAGTAATGGCATTAAATAGTTTTTTAAAAGTGAAATACCTGAACATAAACATATAGTAGCCTGAGAAAAATGCTCATTTTCGAAAAAAATTTCAGATGGCACTTAGAGGCTTTTGCATCTGAACTCTTCATATACAGAGGGGCTCAAAAGACATTCTTGTTTCATGTTGCTTCAATTCAACGTCTCACTCAAATTCCAAATCACTACTAATGAAAAATATTATATTCATTTTTAATATGCAAAACAGAAGCATTTGCATTAATTACTCAGACGTCTGGATATTTACTGTATATATTAAGTGTACATGCAACACTGTAACCCAATGGGCGCTCGCGCACATGTGCACTTTCTCTTTGATCGCGTCGGTCACGGAAGTTCCCGCGAAACAATCTGTTACAATGTTTCATATATTTAATCCGGGATGAAATAAACTCGCGCATGTCACATCAATACCTCAATAATGCACGAAAAGAAAAAAAAATACCGCTGGAACGTTTTAAAATGCAAAGCTGAAAAATTCTACTAAACGCGTGTTAATCAATTGCATTTTTAAAAGGATAATAGCCTACATATATGATAAAGTGTCAATACACAAACTCTTGTAGGTGATGATGGCAGTGATGATGATGATGATGATGGTGGTGTTCAGTACCTGAGAACTCCTGTGAAGTCTTAGTGAAGCCAGTCAGACACGAGATTCCCAACAACAGCAGTGAATATGAGACATCAGGGAAAAACATCCTTAAATGTCCCATCAGATCCGATGATTCCTGAGAGAATCAGACCGCGGAACCTAAAGTGATGTCTGATTCCATGACTTCAGCGACAGAGTCAGAAGAACACCAGAGGAGACCTGAGAGAGAGAGAGAGAGAGAGAGAGAGAGAGACTTTCTCTTTGATCGCGTCGGTCACGGAAGTTCCCGCGAAACAATCTGTTACAATGTTTCATATATTTAATCCGGGATGAAATAAACTCGCGCATGTCACATCAATACCTCAATAATGCACGAAAAGAAAAAAAAATACCGCTGGAACGTTTTAAAATGCAAAGCTGAAAAATTCTACTAAACGCGTGTTAATCAATTGCATTTTTAAAAGGATAATAGCCTACATATATGATAAAGTGTCAATACACAAACTCTTGTAGGTGATGATGGCAGTGATGATGATGATGATGATGGTGGTGTTCAGTACCTGAGAACTCCTGTGAAGTCTTAGTGAAGCCAGTCAGACACGAGATTCCCAACAACAGCAGTGAATATGAGACATCAGGGAAAAACATCCTTAAATGTCCCATCAGATCCGATGATTCCTGAGAGAATCAGACCGCGGAACCTAAAGTGATGTCTGATTCCATGACTTCAGCGACAGAGTCAGAAGAACACCAGAGGAGACCTGAGACTGAGAGAGAGAGAGAGAGAGAGAGAGAGAGAGAGAGAGAGAGAGAGAGAGACTTCCCCCTGGTCCCAGAGGCCCTGAGTTTCACGCTCACTGCTGATGATTTAATTCACTGAATCTTTATCTGTATGATTGTCAATACACTGTAGTGTTAGAGTATCTATAAAGTACAAATACAAAAAATACAACGTATTTAGATAACACAATTATAACAACAAACACAAAAGTAAAAGATTAAAATCAAAACGCTTAAATCTTAAAGGAACAGTACACCTAAAAAACGTCTATAGACTATAGAAATAGATTTACTCACCGTCAGAACGTTACAATCCAGTGTGATTTTCTTCAGAATTCTGCTTATTTCTTTAGAAATCAATTAAAGTATTCTAGTACTATTTTTTGGTCAGTTTGATTCAGTTAAGTTTCAGTTTGGGTATTATTTCGTAAACTATAATCTCTCCTCTTAACTATAATTGGACCATTCCCAGAGATCCGGTTCTGTACACATCATGCAGTGTTTAAACCGGACATACAGGTACTATATTGTCTTTAATGGTGTCAGTGGGGCATTGTATTAATGCACTGTTTAAAGTAATTATTTTACACAATGACAAAAAACTGCGATCGTACTGAAAGGTGTCATCTGTAGACATCTGCTGGTCAATATGAAGAACTGCAGTAACTCCCCTTCATCAAATAATACGGCATGGATTCATCAGCTCACTGCAGTTTATATTATTTTTCAGGGTATCTGTTTGGTTTTGATCTGTTAACATTTTTACTGTTTCATGCATTGCTTGTTCCTTATAACTGTTTTACGGTTTAATTTAGCAGAAAAGCCTGCAATGGGGCATGTTGTCACAAAAGGACAACATATGAACTTTATTTCCGCGTGCAATAATAGTCTAACAGTCAGTATGTCTAACAGCTTTATTCTTGCAGTCAAGATTTTAAGGTTTGAGGCCATACAGCAACTGACTTTAGAAAATAAGCACCCTGAGAAATATTCACTGCAGTAAAAATGACAAAAACGTTCCTGTAGCCCAAGAACATGGGCTTGAATGAACACTGCACACTACAATACTCACCTGAAGAGCTTGTGGTTTGGTTTAGTGTTCTTGTGATGAGCATTCACACCTTCATTCATGCAAACAGACCACAGAACCCAGAGCTGCCATCTCGGATGTATTTAATAAATTAAAACAAGGTACAAAAAGAAAACAAAAAACCTCGTACATTTGACTCCTCGGTCTCGGTCTCTCCCTTTGTTCTCACTCTGTGATTCGCTAGTAAACAAACACGATAGAACAGCCCTCGTCCACCGATTACGACACATTCTGGGCCCGTATGTAACGCAACATACATGCTACATGTCGGCAAGCAACTGGGCGGGAAACGAAAAAAAGAGAGAGACATGCAGTATTTGTTTAAAGGGATTGTTTGCCCTAAAATAAAAATTTGATCAATTTACTCAGGCCATCTAAGATGTACATGATTCTTATTTTTCATCAGAACGGATTTGGAGAAATGTAGCATTCCATCACTTGCCCACCAATGGATGTGCTGCAGTGAATGGGTGCCGTCAAAATGAGAGTCCAAACAGCTGATAAAAACATCACAATAATCCACACCAGTCCATCAATTAATGTCTTGTGAAGAGAAAAGTTGCATTTTTGTAAGAAACATTAAGAGGCTTTAACTTTAAACTGCCACTTCTGCCCAAAATACAAGTCCATAATCCTTAATAACGCTTCCTCCAGTGGAAAAGCCCATCTCCTGTTGTCCTCTCACATTAAAATCCACCCACATATTTGCTTAGAACTTTTTTAATGTTGTCACTTGTAAATAGTGTTTGATCCGTTCATATTTCTCTCCCGATTCAGATGAGATGACTTATTCACTGGAGAAAACAATATTACGGCCAGAGGAAACAACAGTTTAAAGTTAAAAATGCCTTAATGATTGATTTGTTCATCACAAACATGCACCTTTTCACTTCATAAGACATTAACTGATGGACTGAAGTGGTGTGGATTACTTGTGGATTATTGTGATGTTTTTATCAGGTCTCATTCTGACGGCACCCATTCACTGCAGAGCATCCATTGGCGAGTAAGTGATGCAATGCTACATTTCTCCAAATCTTTTCCTATGAAGAATCAAACTCATCTACATTTTGGATGGCCTGAGAGTGAGTAGAATTTCAGCAAATTTGCAGCAATTTTGGGTGAACTCTTCCTGTAATAACTGTTTCAAAAGCACTTCAAATGTTTACTGGTACCATGATGTGTGTGCATGCACCTACCGACATTAAAAGGACAGTTTAACCAAAAATGAATTTATGCACCATCTCATGTCAATTCAAACCTATACAACTTTATTCCTTCAGTGAAACACAAAGAAGAATTATGAACGTGAGGTTATGCACGTCATGATGGTGGGTAAATAATGACAAATAATGAATCTTAGTGCATCGATCTCTCTCTTATTCGTTGTATAACACCCGATCTCTACTAGTCACCAAATATATGCTGCTGACCTTCTATATATATCAAAAACAATCATAATAATCATTTAATTAAAAAAACGTCCACAACATTTTGGCAGAATCGAGCGTTAGGGGTTAAACAGACAGATATAGAGGATAAGATATAAAGCCACAGAGAAAAATCAGTCTGTATTGGTCCCTCTCTGTTAGCAGCACACGGACTCGTCACCCCACGGTTTACTAGAATATTATGTGCATTTATATATATTTTAATATATATATATATATATATATATGTGTATATATATGCTTTTTATTTCAGTATCTCCAAAATAAAAATAAAAAACATTTAACTAACACTATTTCTTTGTTCAAACGGATGCAAATTATCACAAGGAAAACAGCCCAAGAGCCACGGAAGATCGAACGTGGGAGAATCAAAGAACGGTTTCCAGCAAACATGCCGTGAGATGCGGGGAGCAGAGATGTCGCCTGTTCGGATCGCCCTACGGAGGCCCCAAAATCCAATGAGACAGTGGTTGAAAGAGAGAGAGTGAGAAGCACGAGTTAGAGGAAGATCCCGACTCTCAGACGGTCAGTTCTGACACGTATCATTCGCATCGCAGAGATGGGCTTCTGGGAGGTTTCCTCACACTCTGTGTCTGTACGAGTGGCGGCTCAGTAGTCTGCGGCGTATTCGGTTCCGTGAAGGCCGCGGCACACCAGGGTGAACTCCTTCACAATGTCTTTCACTCTGCGCTTGTTCACTCGCTCCCTGAGAGGAAACAGAAAAATAAATAGTTTTTCATTCTCAGATGATGGGTTTTCGGAGAACGTGTGCATGAAGACCTCAGCTGCAGAGATGTCAAATACAGGACAAATTGACATTATGTTCGGGGTGCAGTGTAGTTACTGGTAACTGAAACTTGAGCTAAAACTAAACCTATTCTAAATATTTTTGTTACCTGAAATAAAGCTGAAAAAAGGGCAACTAACTGATAGGGTTGTGACGGTGAGGAAATTTTCCCACAGGTTAATCGACATGTGACAACACCGATAATACCGGTATCAACGTGGGGGCAGGGGCGTTCCCTCTTTTCCTCGCTTTCCTTCGCTTTTAAATAGCTTGCAAAAGCGGCGTGCGCATTTTACTTTCACTTTCAAATAGTGGCAATTCGGCGTAAAGCAATTGTTCGTTAAAATTTTCCTTTTTTTCCTCGCTTTCCTTCACTTTTAAATAGCTTAAAAGCGGCGTGCGCATTTTACTTTCACTTACTTTCGAATTAGCGGCAGTTAGGCGTCAATTGCTTGAATGCAACAACAAAATACAACGTCAAACTCACTTTAGCCTATATATAAAACATAGAACTTTTATTAACAAAACGAATAAAAATACACCATGCTATAGGGCAG